GCTCCGACTGCTACTTTATTTCGTTTAGCAATGATACATATTATCTTCTATAGATCAAATGTGCACTTTCGAATAATAGATACGAAAGTGACATTTCACTTTTGTGTGTTCCAAAATGGCGAAAGTAACGAAAGAAAACAAAAAGTCTTTTTCATTTTCTTCCCCTCTATAACATATCACACGTCATCGACAGAAAGGAAAGAAATATATACTACGGCTTTCGTATTATACGAAAGAACGCGAAACTTTCTCATGTCGTCTCATCTCTGTTCTACTGACTATCGAACATAAAAAACACTAAAAGAATGTGTAATCTTAATATTGCAAACGATAAGAGCTTTTTTATTATTATTCCATGTAAAGGTTTACGTTCATTTTTCTCTTTACATATCTTTCTTATTATTACACAAGAATATGACAAATAGCTCTAGTGTCGAAGACTCTCTCTATGACAAATATACCAACACAGCGGTTTCTCGATGTTATTTGCGAACCAACGAAATTCCTATCTCCAATAAAAAGTTATGAAAAAGTAAAGCTCGTGTCACTGGAAGAAGCTGTTCGTCCAATTGAACATTTAATCGATAATATACAAGGTGATGTTTGGGTAGCTAAGAATAATTGTAAGAAAATACAAGATGGACTTACACAGCATGAAAGTGCTGCTATATATCTCTATACTATGGAATCGATTTATGGCGAACTGAATCAAGCACTACGAGATAAAAATCGTCAAAGTCTGCTTCCCTGATTCCTTTATTTGAAATTACTTTTAACTGGTCTATGGAAACTACCAGCAGCGAAATGTGTCTTGTGGCGTGGTGTTAAAGCTGATTTAAGTGCTCAATTTACCGAGAGTGAAACATTTGTTTGGTGGGGGCTATCGTCGTGTACTATATCACTCTCTGTACTTCTAAAAGAACAATTTCTCGGTAAAACAGGCGTGCGTACACTGTTTAATGTTGAATGTATGAATGGAAAGGCAATAAAAAATCATTCACATTATCAAAGCGAAAATGAAGTATTGCTACTACCGTGCAGTTATTTTGAAGTATTGGGTAAAATCGATCAAGGTAATGGCCTACATACGATTCATATTCGACAAATTGAACCACCGGTACCATTAATACAGTCACCGATTGATTCCACGGGTGATATAACATTAGCGACGACGTCTCCTCATGCACTCAGTCTTGCACAAATTACTACCAAAACATGTTTTCAATGTCCACAATGTGATAAGAAACTATTGAATAACGATGAAAAAACTTATCTCAAACACATGACAGATTGTATGAATAAAAGTGATTTACTTGAACTGAAATCGTCTGTTGCTGCTGCATCTTTAAGCGATAGTCTATCAAAGATAAGTGTAAGCACAACGTTCTCGTCGAATACGTTAAAGTTAAGTCACTTAAATGATAAGCCAAGATTATGTCTCAATATTAATCCGGGTACGCCTATAATGGCTGCAAATGGCAAACATCTGCTTTATTGCCCGGAAGACAAACTTTGTCTTATTGATGAACATGGAGATGAACAGTTCATAGTTAAACGTGATTTTCACCAGATAGATAGTATAAGTTGGTCGTCATATTTAAATCAATTTCTTATTGCATTTCAAAGACTACTTTATGCGTTAGATATGACTAATAAAACATCTCAAGTAAAGCAAATTCAAGACTTTCAGGGGCGTTTTAGTATGTATATCACCACTTATGAAGATACATTGCTAGTGACAAAGGATCCACTTATTGAAGAATACAATCTATCTAATTGGAAATTAATTCAAACTTGTAAACCACCAATATCACCTAAAGAAGGTCAATATATTTGTCACATTCGTTTTAACAGTGATGGATCACGCCTCGGTGTTATTCTATGAAACGGCCGCATTGATAAAGATAATTACTCGTTTGAATTACGTGATCGCCACACCATGAAAGTGTTTCACAAGCTTGAGCTTAGATATCCTTACTATGGCCTTCTAACCCCACCACGGGAACAGTTTCTCATTAGTAGGTTTGATCGAAAAGAATTGTATTTAATTGATTCAAATGGTACACTTACACAAACAATTCCATATGATGCAGAAGAAATATGGAACCCGCTCTTAGTTAATGAAAGATGTCTAGTTATACTAACAAGTAAACGCTCTCAAACAGATTTTAAACTTAATTTCTACGATGTATAATATGGTCAGTAGAATGCGCGTTGGTACATCGATTAAAGACAACTGCAGTTTCATTTCTTTCAGCCGCCATTTTCTTTTTTTAAATGCTTTTTTCTCTTAGTACCTGGGAAAAGCAGCAAAGTAAAGTATATAGTCTAACAACGATATGACCCGTTCTTTTGCACTAATATTTTGGAAAATGTCGAGTCAGAAAATACAGAAACATCACACAAAATCTTCAAACATAGTAAAATTATTTACTTTCTAAAAGTGATCTCTTGAGTAGAGAAAGGTCTACTCTTTTTGCTCTACTTTATTACTCTACTTTTGCTCTAGTTACCATAAAGAGGATCAGATGGAAAACAGCTTAGCATGGATCCGGGATCCATGCGGACCTACGCGGATCCATGCGGATCCATGCGGATCTACGCGGATCCATGCGGATCTACGCGGATCTATGCGAATACAATTTTATTGAACTGAACTGTCCCAGAAATCTCTGTTCCCACAAGCAAAACAAAAATGTTCTGTCTGTGGGAAAAGAATTCAAAGAACAGAACACAATTGTCCCGTTATCCAGGAAAGTTTCCCAATAAAAGAACCGGACTGTTCTGTTTCGGGAACACGATTGTCCTGTCTCGCGGCTCAGACTGTTCTGTTTTGGGAACAGGATTGTGCTGTTTTAGCGGAAGAATATTGAGATGGATCTGTGGGGATCTTTTTGGATCCATGCGGATCTTTCTAGATCCATGCGGAAACCCGGATCCGCGGATCCGCTTTTCCCCCCTTGGTGCAAGACCTCAAGCAGCTTGTACTTTCACATACTTCACTTTTCCAATTTTCCACAATTTCTGAGTTTCTTTGCTCTTCTGCCTATAGGTTCAGTTCCAAAATTGAAGAACTTCTACGAAACTTCACACTTAGTCGAATTTCGAGGTTTTATGCATCTTTATCTCTATGCAAAGTGATCTGAAACTCTGCTAGGAGATGGACTTCATATTTCGGCTTGTCCATACGTAACGGCGTTACGTTTTGGACGCACTAAAATGAAATTATCTCGGAAACTAAAACAGTTAAAAAACTCATTTAGCGCCATTCGATGCAGCTCGTCGACCCACATTTACGGTATAAAACTGAAATCTTTTAGATGAAGTCTCGAATTTTGAGAACGGTTTTTCTAGGCCGTAACGGCGTTACGAAAAAAGACCCTTTTTTGAGTGCTATCAATAAAAACGTGAATTCCGACAAAGGTAAAGATCATAATGAAAAGTTTTTAGCATAGAAATTGTAGAGCACAGAACGGGCTATCCGATGGCAAAAAAAGAATTTTTCCAACATCTTCAGTTAAGGCAAAAACATCGAAACATAAACGTAACGGTGCTACGCACTGTTTTTGTCGAGTGTTTTTGAGGGACCTAATCTGACCAGAAGATTTTGATATTTTGTTAGGTTCCACCTAACTTGTATGAATCTTCACTTGTATGTACAAATCTTTATTAAGAGCCATTGCACGTAAGCCACGACCGACGTTCTTCAATCGATATTCTCGAAACTTTTCCAAAGTAGGAGGCTTTTGTAGACCAAACATTTTAAGGAATTTTGGTGAAAGGCGCAAATCAAAAAGTTGTATCGTTGCTGAGATATTGATATTTTACGAAAAGCCCTGAAAA